TGTTTCACTTCAGCACTGCGCCTCCTCTGAGTCTGGGTATGATATTCTCTTTCCTACTCGTTGTAGAATTTCCACTCAGCCAGCCTTCCTTTGGTTCTGGATGATGTCCTTCCGTCCTTTAGTTGTATCTCTGAAGTGGTTGTTCGAGACAGCAAACTCTGGCGTTAACCTATGCTGCCATCTTGGTTTCCCAACAATTTATAAATTTTAAATCGTGCACTGTTCTGAGTAGTGTGATGAAACTCACGCTGCCCCTCTGTCTAGCCCACTACGTGAATTTTCCTTTTGTCCAGCACATCCATGCTGTATATGCTACCCACCCATCTCAGGTATCAGACTATCACAGGGCTTGTGTTTAAGTAACTCTCATGTTACTCAATAAGTGCCCCAAAGCAAAATAGGAGTGATGCTGGCAATTTGAATATGCCAAAGAGACACCAAAGTGCTTCCTTTAAGTGAAAAGGTGAATATAGTTAGAAAGTTATTTTTCAGAAAGACCACATTTACATAACGCTTATTGCAGTATCCTATATAATAAAAGCCTAATATGCTAAATTTCTGGTCATCTGGTTGGCCGTTCAACCAATCAAAGTGCAATATGCTAATGATATGCTAAGGCTGCTCAACTGCTTGCTCTAATGTGCACTGACCACCAGGGGGACAGTCGACCAGCCGCTATGATGTGCACTGACCACCAAGGGGCAGATGCTCTGACTGGTAGGTTAGCTTGCTGCTGGGGTCTGGCAGATCTGGACTGAGCAAGATGGGCTGGACATGCCCCAGAGTCCTCCCGCGGTCCCGCCCCAGCTGGCCAACCTCCTGCATCCCTCCCTGGCCCCAATCGTGCACTGGTGGGGTCCCTTGGCCTGGCCTGCATCCTCTCACAATCTGGGACCCCTCAGGGGATGTCAGAGAGCTGGTTTGGGCCCCATCCCGCAGGCCAGGCCGAGGGACCCCACTGGTGCACAAATTGGCACACCGGGCCACTAGTATTATCAGAATTGTTCTATTGTATTACATTTCTTATTGTTAACCTCTTACTGTGCCTAATTTATAAATTAAACTTTATCATAGGTATGGATGTGTAGTGAAAAACAGTGTAGGGTTTGGTACTGTCTGTGGTTTCAGGCATCCACTGGGTCTTGGAACATCTCCCTCACAGGTAAGGGGGGATTACTGTATTAAATAGGAATTTTCCATATGAAAAAAAGTGGAAGAAAGGGGTTTAGTCTTTCAGATCCAATTATTCTTCTTTGCTAAGAAAATAAAAGTATGTGATATTTAGTTAGAGCTTTTAGTTTGCAAAGTACCCATTCATGCATTATCTAATTTGAGTTCTGGGAGGCAGTCAAGGCCAGAATTACAGCTTCATTTTACAAATTAGAAAATGAAGGTTTATGAAGTTTAATTGACTTTCTCAAAGTCATATATTAGTAATAAGCAATGGAGCTGAGACTAGAGCCCAGGTTTTATGACTTTTAGAAAAATACAGATCACTTATGTTAACATGTTCAAATATTTTCTTTAAAAAAATATATTTTATTGATTTTTTACACAGAGGAAGGGAGAGGGATAGAGAGTTAGAAACATTGATGAGAGAGAAACATCGATCAGCTGCCTCCTGCACACTCCCTACTGGGGATGTGCCCGCAACCAAGGTACATGCCCTTGACCGGAATCTAACCTGGGACCCTTGAGTCCACAGGCCGACGCTCTATCCACTGAGCCAAACCGGTAAGGGCCAAATATTTTCTCCAGTCTTTTTTCTATGAGCATATTTTTCATAATTGTGGTAAAATTATATATCTTTGGTTTTGCATCAATACTTTTTTTTGCTTTTAACATTTTAACATAAGCATTTTCCTGTTTCATAGATTTTTCCAGAAGTTGTTTTTAATGCCCTTATAATATTCCATTTTATGAACCTGACATGATTTATTTACTCTTTCCTTTATTGTGTGCTACTTAGATTGTTTTCAGGGTCTGAATCTAGAAATATCACAATACACATCCTTTTAAAGTTGCAGACATTCACTGGGCAGGAGTTCTGTGTTTTATTCACCGCAACTGCCAACACAGGGCCCAGCACAGAGCAGGCATTCAGAAAATACTTGTTGATTAATGTGTGTGTCAAAATCTTGGTGCTCATCTCATTATTTTGGTAAAATAGATTCTTAGAAGTTGAATTATTATGTCAAAGGATATGAACTATGCGCTTTTTAAAAGGCTCTTAGAACAAATTGTCAAAATGCAATTACTTTCCCCCAAGCTTGCCCCCACTTGTACCCTGGCTAACTGCGTGGGAGAGTGGTTGGCTTTCTGTGTGTAACCGCTCAACAGGGGTTATTAATCATCTTAACGGCTTGGCTGACTTAGAAAGTGAGAAGTGGTTTCTCAGTGTCCTTTTAATTTGACTTTTTAAAATTCCTATTGAGGTAGAGCATTCACTTTTATCTGTTAGACAATGTAAAATGTCTGTGTATCATCTTCATTTTCACATTGAAATAGTAGTGTTCTTACTGATTTGCAAAGATCCCTATATGCTAAGTATATTTACCCTTTAATGCAACTCTTTTCTTTTTTACTGAATGTATTGGGGTGACATTGGTTAATAAAATTATATAGGTTTCAGGTGTACAATTCTACAATACATCATCTGTATATTGTATTGTGTGTTCACCAACTCAAATCATGTCTCCTTCGATCACCATTTATCTCCCCTTTTCCCTCTGGCAATCACCATACTGTTGTCTGTGTCTATGAGTTGTTTTTTTTCTTAAT